TATGAACAGCATTACTTATAGTCTATTTAAATAAAATAACTAATATTTTAAAGTGCACTTGAACATATAAAATTCAGCTATTGTTGGATAAACATTCTTGACATACAAAACTGGAATATAGAATTAGAGGGTCACATTCTTAATATTTTAGAGGTATTACCAATCACTATATTTGAAACATCTATTAAAATTTAGGTTACTCTAGAGCCAATTTTATTGGTTTTTCTTTAATTAGTTTTCATTATTTAAAACAAAATTTAAATATATTTTGGTCATGTTCGTCCCCTCCTCCAAGCCCCTCCAGATCATCTCCCCCTCCTTACCTACCCAACTTTATGTTTTTTCTCAAAACTGAAGCAAAAACCCAATACAAGAAAACAAGATAAAACCACATCCAAAAAAATAATAAAAAGAAAGACAGAAAGAAAAACAAAACACCACACTGTAACCAAATAAAAGCACACACACAAAAAAAACTGGGGAGTCCATTATATGTTGGTCAATCACTCCTGAACACGAGACCTCTCCTAGAGTGGTTATTCTCCAGTCCCTCTATTGGAGAAAACTGATTATCCTCTATCAGAAGGTGTAAGTGACAGTTCAATTGTTAACCTTTACCCAAGTGGCTAGTATTCATTCATCATTCATTCACTCATTCATTCATTCAGTTTTTAAAAATATTGCAAATAAAGTATAATAAGATAAAATAAAAACTATCACATCAAAGTTGGACAAGACAAACCGACAAAAGAAAAAGAGCCAAGAGAAGGGACAAGAATCAGAGACTCAGTCGTTTGCACACTCAGGAATCCCATAAAAACTTTAAACTGGAAGCCATAATGTGTGCACAGAAGATCTGGTGCAGGCCTGTGCAGGTTCTGTGCATCCTGCTCAGTCTCTTATGAACCTCAATCATGTTGATTTAGGAGGTTTTGGGTTTTTTTTTTGGTGTCCCTGATCCACTCTACACCCACCCTCTTTCCACCTCCTCTTCTGTAGGGTTGCCTGAGCTCTGAGGAGAGAGATTTGATGAACACATACTATTTAGGGCTGAGTAGTCCAAGGTTTTTCACTCTCTGTGTAATTTCTGGCTATGGTAGGCTTAATTTTATAATACTTTAGTCATTGTGGAAAATATACTGATGTTGAGACATTATTTGTCTGTGCTTAGTAATTTTAACTCATATTTTGGTCTTGTTCTCCAAAATCTAATAGATGACATTGTGAATTTTCAGAAAATTTGGCTATAGTTTAACTCATTCTTAATTTTTGACCACATGATGAATAACTGATTAAAATATAATATAGATCCTTTTTGAAGCATAGATAAAAGAGCTATCCTTGATTAATATAACATACCCATATAAGAATGTTGTCCCATGTTAATATACTAAACCAAAATACACTAAAATACTGTCTACACAACTATATGAGAATTGTGGTTATTATAAATCATCACACAGCCTTTATGACCACTCAGGTCATTTGTCCAAAACCACAAGGGAGAAAAATAAGCTTGGAATAGTTCAAACTTCATCACCCTTGAACTTTCAGCTGTGGCCTAGGGAAATGACTCAGTGGGTGGAGAGCTTGCCATGAAAGCATATGGACTTGAGTCAGATCCTGGGACCCCATGATAAAGGCTGGTCGTGGCAGCATGCATCTCTAACCCAGTAGTGCTGGAGTAGAGATGGAGAAAAGAGGATGCTGAGGACTCATTGGCCGACCAGTTTAGTCTCAAAATGGCAAGCTCAGGTTCAGTGCTAGACCCTGTCTCAAAAATATGTTGGAGAGAGATAGAGTAAGACACCTGAAGTTGTTATTTGGTCTTCATGTCAGTGTATCCAGATGAGCACACCTGTATAATACAGCCACACATATTCATAACACACACACACACACACACACACACACACACACACACACACACACACACACAGAGTCTACCTTTTTGGCAGATAATATTTGAGTTACTGTCTTAATTTTGACAAGAACAAAGTGAGTGCTATTTTTTCAGAACACAATAGGGGGTGCTGACGAGTTGGCTCAGCTGTTAAGAGCATATGCTGCCTTTCCAGAGGACTCAAGTTCAGTTTCCAGCACCTGCGTTCAGCAGCTCACCAACACCTGTAACTCCAACTCTATGTGGGCTTGTGCTGATTTCTAGCCTTAGTGGCCACCTGTGCTCATCTGCTCAGGTCTGGCACAGATGCACACATACATAATTATAATACATGAATAATTAAAAATAAAATACTTCTTTAAGATAACAATAGGTAGACACAATTTCTAATATATATATTTATATTATCATTATAATTATATAGTTATTATATATAGTAATATATAATATTATAATATATTTGCTTTTCTGTCCTAATATGTAAATGATGTCTGCTTGTTAATCATTTATTGCCAAATACTAAGCTAAAGTTTTTTGGTGGGATATTACTGAAGTACAAAATGAGGCAAGTGAACTTACAATTTTTCTAAATTTTTATCCATCTAAATGAATTTAGATTTCATTTCTATGGAAATCTGAATGAGGCGAAGATCACCATCTGATTATATAACACAGATGGCATATAAGCTAGGTGTTCAGAAAACTGTGGGCCAAATCAGTGACAGCTAAAATCAGAGTGGATCTATGGACTGAGCCGGACAGTTCAGTGGGAAAAATATATGGCTGTATGTTGCAGGAAGGGAAGGGAGCGATACCGAATGGAAAAATGACAAATGAGCAAAGAATCTGGGTAGATGAGAAGGCATCTATCTCCCAAAAGCTCTTAGTAAATGTGCTTTGGATTTGATCCCATGCACAGATGAAACACAAGGAGGTCCTTTTAAACAGCAAGTCAAATTCTAAACTACTCATGAAACTGTTTCAAGCTTCCCTACTGGTGAATATTTTAATTTCTTCATGGCATCACTAGCTCTCATCACTAGACCAGCCCTGCCATTCTTTTACATTTTCATTTTCTGTGTCTTTTCTTGGTGACTACTCACATACTACGTCTTGATTTGTGATAATAATGGTGAATATTTCCTATTTTCTGCCATGGATACATATCTAAGATACAAAATTGGATATCTAGCTTATCTTATGATAAACACATTACACTTGATCATTGTTATCAATGGAAATAGAATTTTTGTTGGTTCAAAGTAGAATAATTATTAGTTGAATATTTGGGAAAGTATTCTGTAGTGTAAATATAATTTAAACTGATCTTATAAGGTTTTTGTTGTTGTTCGTGTGGTAGTGGTGGTGGTGTGTGTAGTATATGTGGTATATGTGCACATATGTATGCATGCATATGCAGATGATGGAGGAGGATGTTAGTACCTGGATCTATCACTCTCCACTGTATTCCTTTGAGATAGGTTCTCTTAGTGAGCCTGGGGTGAGACTAGCAGTTTGCAAGCCCCAGTGATCTTTCTATGTCTCCCCCAAACAGCGCTAGGATGACAAATTCCTTTGCAGCTGTGCCCAGCTGCTGATGTGGTTGCTGGGATCGGAACTCAGGTCCTCACGCTTGCATAGCCAGCAGCCTTACTCACTGAGCCATCTCTTCAGCTCCGAAACTGATGATAACACAGAGCAAATTTTCCTTAGCAAGACTCACTACAATGGGAAATATCTTATTTTTGTAGTTTCTGAAAATGACAGTTTTTTTGTGCTCACAATGGAAATACAAAGCACTTGAACTCACGCACTGCAGAAAATGCTCAAGACCTTCCAGGCATAACAAATAACAGCACCACAGAGAAGAACACAGCTTCTTTCTGCATCAGGGAACTGAGTTGCATCATGTCTAGAGGCATTGGTGCAGTAATTGTGCAGAATTTCCAATGCATGTGGACCATGTAAAAATAGAAACATTTATTCTCTTGAATTGTGAATCTTTGGGTGCATACACATTTTCTCATTCAATCTACCGAATCAGTACCTAAAATTCTTACCATGATATAACTAAGAACCATTTCTACTTCATCCTTTTAAAAGTAAAAAACAATTCACAAGATTCAACAACAGAAAATGATGTTTTATAATAATTAAGTCACTTTGTTGATCCGAGTAAGAAGTGTAAATTTAAAAAGTCACAATTATTTCTAGACTTTTGACCCATTCCTTGAATGTGATGAAAAATCATTGTAAATCACCATTGTACTGGGCTACATTTGAAAGGCAAGGTCTTCATGCACATTTGACACAGCAAACAGATACACAAGACAAGTCGATCTATGTTCATTTCACAAATCTGAAGACTAAAACCCAAGCCAATACCAGATTTAATGAAAAGATTTATTAAGTACTTTGCACAACTTTCAGTACACAGTAGGTGCTAATGAAGTGTCTGTTCAAAGGTGGGCGGTTCTGAAATCACAAACTGTGGAAGTATTAAAATATCTCCCTAGATTTTATTCCTCATATATTGGAATAGAAATTGAAGCAGGGTTGGCTCCCTGTAAAAGAAATGCATGAATTATTTATAATTGAAGACAAACCATAAAAAGGAATAACAGGGCACAAATATCCATAATTTGGTCATTTGCAATGGAAGCAGAGCATCAGATCTGTCTGATTAAAATTAAAAGTGCTGTTATGAAGTTAGCACATGAATAAAGCAAAAGCCGAGTGAGTGTATTAATGTGCTATATATAGATATTAGCTAGTGTTGATATCAATAAGCTGGGATCAGCTCGGGCCTTCAGCTGCTTAGGTAGGGACCTGGATAGTTCAAATATTGTACAAAGGAAGTGACTCTCAGGGGACCACTGCCAGTTGTGAGAAGTTCTGTTGGATAGGAATAACCGTGACATTAATATCCTGGAAATATCCATGACCCAGATAGATAAACTATAGATTTTTCCAAGCCAGAGGAATTTCATTATACAGTGAGAGAACTAAGAGGTCAAGAAAATTGATCATAGCTTGTAACTGACCGGTGGACCAGCTCCTAATACTCATTCTGACCAATTTTTTCCCCAATACACAGGATGATGAAATAACAGCAGTGTTTCCGGAAGCCACAGAAGTCAGTTTGTGGAAACAGGGAGAAGATGGCACCTATCACTTTGGAGGATGGACTCACCTTGACAATTACTGCTAAAGAGAACAAGTGGAAAGGATGAAGCACGACTGTTAATGGAAACCAGGAAAATTGGCAAATCAACATATTAAGAGTCAGTAATGGACGACTAGACATGTAAGCCATTGGCCACATGAAGTCAGTAGATAAAAATGTATGAGAATTACCTAGCTTCATGAATACCATATAAACAATATTACAAAGTAATTCTACCATACTCTCTATGAATGATCCCCTTACTAAATAGAGGTCTAAACACTGGCATGGAAGCTGTGAAAGATTTGAGGGTAGAAAAAGAAATATCTTTAGTTGACATGGGGACTGGGAATGGTGTTCCTGGAAGGTAGACCTTTAAGAGAGATTGGATAGACTGACGAAAAGTTTTTATGCAGCCTACAACAGTCCACTGTATTAAATCTTCCCTTTTGAGAATGTCACAAAACTTGTATAGTACAGAAAAATAGCCAGATCTAGGCAAAACTGTCCACCTGGTGTGAATTGTGTAACCCACTTTTCAAATCTGAGCAGTGTCCTTCTGTAAAGTCATCTGAAAAAAAATAACCTGATAGATTCTCCTTTCTGCAGTAGCAGGATCCTACATGAAAGCAGAGATGGGTTTTAGTAACCTAGTCCTCTGTTTCTTTCAGAGTCTCTGTGGGAAAGGCAGGCAGGCAAGCAAGGTGGAGCTGAATTCCAAAGGCCTGGAGCTCTGTCTCTGCTGTGCTCCTTCTGTTTACTTAGTTTCTAACCTTTGACAATGATGCTCTTAACACCAGCAACATCAGCAGTAGAAATGACAACCACAGTCACCATTTATGAGTATTCAGTGAGGCTGGATAATGCACGAATGAATGAATGTTTAGCTGGGCTGGATATTGCACAAATGAATGTTTAGCTGGGCTGGATATTGCATGAATGAATGAATGTTTAGCTGGGCTAGATATTGCATGAATGAATGAATGTTTAGCTAGGCTGGATATTGCACAAATGAATGTTTAGCTGGACTGGACTTTCCATGATGTGCTTGACAACCACCCTTGTCTTTACTAACTTGTGCAGGTGACTTAATTCTCTGCTGCAGCTTCTAAATTTACAGATTATAAGTATTAATAGCATCTAGTTTTGATTGTCAAATGAGTTAATACCAGAAACATGTTTAGAATATTCCTGGACGTATTGTTACAAATTCTTATTATTTCATATAATTTTCAAAGCAAAATTTTAAAACTAGTAGTTGTAAGTTTTCCCCCCAATTTACAGATAAACATATTGAGACTCAAAAATATTGGCTAACGTCTTTAAGACTGTAGAGCTAGGAAGAGACAGAATCAGGGCTTAAACTTTCAAATGTTTTGCTTTTTAGCTACTCCACCATGCTGGTTCTCCCTCAGCTCCAGCTACACCACGTAAACCCCTTTGATTAGTTTTCTGTTGAACCCATCAGGGGTTTTCACATGTCTTTTTCTTTTGCCCATCTTGTTATGCCTCTATCTGAATAGCTTTATTAGCTTTGTCAAGCCAATGACATCAAAATTACCCTGCAGGGCCTGCTCACTTGCCACTTCTCTCTCACCCCTCTTCTCCACCTTCACGGAGCTAATTGCTCCTCTGTGTTGTTTTAACACTTAGCTCACCTGTCTCCCTTACAGCATTTATCACATTGTCTCATACCCTGTTGATGTCTTCAGTGCGAGATGATGAGCTTCTTTGCAGCACAGAGTAAAGTTTATTGAAAATGTTAGACTCTCTGCCAGGGCCTCACAGGGATGCGCTCACTGAAACTTCTCAACAGCTCTAGAATTCGTACACCACTGTAATCCTATTTCTGTTGTTAAGGCAGAATCTAACCTTAAATGCAGGCATAATGAATTGTTATCACATTAAAGTTAGGTTTCAGTAAACAAATGTTTAGTAAAAAGGATAGGAAAGTCATTTTCATGGGAGAAAATCAACATTAAGTTCAGCATTTTTTTTTTTGATGGAAGACAAAGGAACAAACTCTACTTCATCTATCTAATTGTTTTTTCTTTTCTTAAGTCTGTAAAAAGAAGCAAATGATTAGCTGTGGCTAGTTCAAGCCCAGTTCTTAATCCATCTTTAACATCTTTGGTAGTACAATCCCTTGCCCAAGGTATAATGGATACCTTACTCCCTCGTCTTGTGATCTTGAGTACCCATGTAAGTTAAATGCTTCAATAGTTTACTATCTATCCAAAAATCTCATAAAACATGTCCTGAATGACAATATCAGCTTTAATATTAGTGACAAGAATCTAATATTTTCCACACTGTGTCCTTAGGCATGAGAAGGAGCTGGCAGCTGGCTGTGAAGGCCGGGTGTGAACCCTTCAACCTCCAACTGACCTGTGGCTTCCTAGAGGTCTGTTTGTACAGCCACTTTAGGGAAACACATTCTCCCGGGTTTCCTCTGGAGCATCAGAGGATCTGCTGCTTAATCAACTTCCTGACTTGGGGAGAGGAAACTGACTTTAAAAGCCTTTTAACCCAAAGGGTTTGGACAGCTAATGGACAAGATCCTCTTGGCAAAAGGAGATGATGCAAAAGCTCCTTCCCTTGTTTAAAAACAAAGCTTTACTTATGTAACGTTTTTATAAAGTTAAAGGCTTTCGGTTTTACTAGTTATTTTTGGAATCTGTCACATTGCATCATAAGGCAAACTATTTGTCAGTCTGGCTAACCCCAAATCTCCACTATGTTTCTCCTCTTTTTTTAAAAAAACTATTCTTTTAACTCACTTGCCATTTACAAATGGTGTCTTCATTTTAAGCACCATGCAGGCTTAATTTCATCTCAATATTGAGCAATTCTTTAATGCGAGGTAAATAAAGTTTCTGAAGGTCTAGAAAAGGCACAAAATCAATGGCATGTCTATAATTGAATAGGACAATAAAATTTCATTAGTGAACAGATAATAACTCATAATTTCTATTCAAAATATTCATAAATTCTATCACCAAAGAAAAAAATAATGTATTTTTTGTCATGAAAAAACAAAATCACAAAACTTGGGAATATTAAATAATTCACACACTCAGAGAATTTATCTTGACTTTAGTATCACTAGCCAGTGTTTGAAACATGTCATTATTTAGCACCCATTTTTCTTCTGAGTATGGAATTGATGTAAGTTGGAATTTTGAGTGTAAACAAGTTATAGTCTATGCTACCCATGGAATAAGATAGAATAAAAACTCAAATTTGTCTAATGTTGAGTGTGGAGAAGTAAGGAGTGGAGTTTGGGTTCTATCTACAACTTCCCAGCAGTAATCCCAGGTGCAGCACAGTTCAGCAGTTAAATGACTTAGCTGAAAGGTGTATATATGCATAATTATGAATATATTTCATTGTACTTTTAATAGAAACAACTGCTGGAGGTCAAACATACTTTTCAACTATAGAGCACTCAGGAGTTGTATTTTTACCCCAATAAGGAGCAGTAGACATCTTAAAGGGGTGGATCACTTTAATAATAAAGATCCACCTCATTTCATATATTATTTCTATTTTTGTTGGCACCAGGAAAGAGCCCCTGACAATAATCACTAAGATGCACAGGGACAAATCTGTCATTTGATTGTACTTTACCAAGACATTTTCATGACACTTTGAGAGAAGCATGACTCTAGCAGAAGAGACTCACCTCTAAGTCTCTTGAAGGAATTGAATTACCTCTTGTGGAAGTAAACAATTAGGACACAGTGGGGGTGAGGAGACACTTGACATGTAGGTTTCTCTGTGACTTTATACAAACTGTTTATAACATGGGAACTATTTTGAAAACACAGCATGGTGAGGGTCCTGACACTTTCCTTAGAATGTAGCAAAAACTGCCCCATAGTTGAGGGTGTATGATATATAAAAGATTCCAAGGCAAACCAGGAGATAAGGCATTAGAGAGACGGTAGAAGCAAACTTAATTTGTAATCATTAATTCCGACCTCACCCTAGGAGTATTTATTGTCTTAGCACCCACAACTCGCCGTTGTTATTCCATATCTGTTGATTCTTTCTCACTTGACTAAGCTCAAGAGGAGCTCCTTCTGTCATGTGTTCTTCAGTCCCCACAGCGTGAAACCAGAACCTAGGATGAATTTACTGAACAAATGAATAAATGAGCAAGCTACTCAGGTAAGCATCCATAGAAATGTTGATGATTGGGAAAGTGGCCACATCCAAGAGTTAACAACGACAATCAGTTAATTCTATAGAGCATGATGGTGTTGAAATTCAATTAGCCAACATCTGGAGAAGATAGTCAATTGATTTTCCTATTTACAATTAATGTTTTTCAACTGTAATCAATTTTGTTATTCAAATCAAGCCCATGTAGAAAACCAGGCAAGCTACTCACCTCAGTCTGCCTTAGTTAATATCTGCATGAGATTCCACAGTCACAAGCATATAAATCCACTGTGTATAAAAGGAACCAGATGACGAGTACAGGCATATCCACTGAAAAACACTACCACTATGATGGAAAACAATGTAAAGACTGTTCAGCTCCATAGTGTAATTAGTCCAAGAGGAACCCATTATTTATTGATGGTGAGTCTTTCTCAATGGGAAACTGGACTCTCCATTGAGGATGTATTTTTATGGAACGAAGATTAGTAAAAATTTCAAGTGGAATTAATTACCAACTGTTCTTTACTGACTATTGAAATGGTTGCCAAAATAGATAATGTGTTTTGCTCATAAAGACAATGGAAATGACTTTTATTTTGTATGATTACTACTATAACGTATTCACTTACAAACCCGGTTGATAACCAAGGCTGTGTCTGATTCACCGCTTCCTTCACCTGCAAATGCCAAGCTGACCAACAGTGACAGTCACTAGAGTTAAGTGGGACCAGTCATTTATACAAACTGAGTTGTTAGTCCAAGTAGCTAGGTGGAGTCAGGCAAACTCATTCCTAACCCCCCCACACACACTCTTAATCCACATCTATTTACTTATCTAAATAATAAAAGTATGGATTAGTGAAACCTATGTTCTCTGGCCTCAAGACCATTGCTGAAATTTCTGATTGATATTTGAAACTTGCAGCAAAGTTTTCCATGAAAATAACCAACGTCATGTCTTTCCTGTAAATTTTGAGATGGAAACATGTTAGGAGACCATGTTTTGGTAACACTGTCTTTATTGTGTTTTAGGTAATGGTTTTAGTATGAACAAGGAGCTTTTATTGCTAGATCCACCTCACTCCTGTGCATTAAACTTTGTTTCAGATCAAATTAGCTTTGGTGTAGAAATGAGGTTAGAATGCTCACTAATCATGGCTTGAGCAAAACTGAAGAGTTGCATAGACCATTAAAAATTTCAGTTTTTTGTTTTTTCTATTTACATTAAAAATTCTGTTTATAGAAGTATTATATCAATAAGAAATTGTTTCACTCAGTTCTTAACCTTACTTTTCAAATACAAATACAAATGCAAAACAAACAAACAAAAATACTTCCAGAAACAAAACAATGGAAAGCCAATAGAACTAATAACAGCTTTCTCTGGCTTTGTCGTACTATTTCTGCAAACCATTTGGCAAGTAATAGATTTAGAACTCAAATTCTATTGGACACTAAAGTGTAATAATTATATTAAAATTCCAAACCAAATAATTAGGCATGTATTTGTTTATAAATACTACTGCCATATAAGAATAAATAAAGGGATGGATTTGAAAAGTTACCCAAAAAATGCTTTAGAAATATTAAGTCAGCTTTATGCTGTCAGTCATATATTTCCAGTTTCAGAATATGGTAGCTACAAAAAAATAAAAAAAATCCATAATAAAGCTAATTTTTCTAGTTTGTGCTTGTTTGCAGTATTAAAGAAAATTATATGCCAAAAATGTAAAATTTATTCCACGAAAATTAACAGGCTACACAGATAAATTTTGGCAAATGCAACTTTATATTGAAGTTCACACATCTGTATCTTAAAGAATGAGACTCACAGAATCTAATGTATTTCTAAAATACCAGAAATCATATTATAAGCTTTCACAAGTTAAAACTGAAATAATTTAAACGACCAATACACTGAATGTGCAGAAAGTATAAACAAGACTGTGCCTTCCACAGAATAAACACTTCACAAATTGTGCCGGGTGTCATCCTAAGGCTGTGGGTTCCACTTGACAGCTGACTTACAATATAAACATACAGCAACTGTCTGCTTCTTAGAACACCCTAGAATGGGCAGCACACCTCAGAAGAAAATCTCTTTATCCAAGTGATGTGCATCTTAATTTCCAAACCATGTGAGGAAAAATGGAAAAGTACTCAATGCTCTTCCATGCACTTCCTGATGAACAGCCAGGGCCAGTCACTGATTCAATGCCTCTTGACTATTTTCTCCACTGCTAAAGAATATGAAGGATACTAGATAACCCTTTAAGGCAACACGTGTTTATTCTGCATCATTAGAACTGCTCATCTGTGGTCAGTTGATACCATTCATGTTGCCTCCCAGACAGATATCTAGCATTTGTAAAATAGAAATGAACTGGAAACTTTTTTACTGAATGAACAGAAAACACATAATACAGTAGTTCAATGCTAGCAATTTCACTGGTAAGGAAGGAAAGTGGCATTTAGAAATAGCAATATATTAATACAAAAAGGTAAACTCTAATTGGAACTGATATACTGCTTTGGAATGCTCCCCCAAACGTACAAGGCGTGTTTAAAGTGTTGTACCCCAATAATTCATGGCACATCTTTAGAGGATTACAGTACTGTTAAGTCCCCCAGTAGTGAAGTCTTTGCAAAACAAAAATAGTATGAAATGTTTTAAAGTCTTCAAACTTCTAAAATTAGCTTTTATCAACACATTTACCTCATGTCAACTTAATTTATTCAAATGTCCAATGCTAGTTGTTTTTTAAGTTTTTTCATATGTAATGATATACACAGCATTTAGCACTGACACTTAGCACCTGCTACTCTCATTATCTAGTGTTCAACCACAGAAAGAAACGTAGGGCAGTGGTTCTCTGTCCTTTCTTAATTACAAACCTTCGACGGCCGTCAGCAGGATCACTCTGAGACTGAAAATAGGATTATAGGTGAACTATTGCAAAGACTGCAGAACGTTGCCCAAATCCTTACAGCTGCTGATTCCATCCTTGCTCTTCTTCTCAAGACATGGCTACAGGCCACAATTGCTTAGCAGAGAGGGTTAGTGTTTCACAAGGCTAAAGATTTACAGATGCTCCCTCATATAACACAGTAAGGTTCCCTTGGTAACCTGGATTTTCTGCAGTAAAGAAGGGTTGTGCTGAAACAGCGCCTCAGCTCCCTGTTGGAGAAAATGCAGACAAAGGGATTGATTCCTGCTTGGGCAAAACTCATCCAGACAGCGGCCGTTAGAAATCCCCCTGGTACTACAGGCCCTCTTGCAAAAACTCTCCAGTAGCAGGCCACCAGGTAGGGGCCCCACAAGGTTAGGAAGAGAAAAGTCATTATATAGAACATTCTGCTGATTCGTTTCTCCATTTTGAACTCATCTAAGACCAACAGCCGTCTTCTGCCTGTGGTATTTGCATTTTGCCTGATGCCCAGCAAGGTGGGTGGTGTGGGACCCCTTCCAAATCCCGCTAGCCAATTGGCAGCTGCCTGGCCACTGGCTCCAGGGCCATGAAAGGTCCAGTTCTGGCTGACTGCTGCTACAAACTGGACTGGCTTCATTTTCCTTCGATCGTGGACAAAAAATATCAGCTTGAGGTAGACAAGCTGTGTGGCTAGGAGGATGAGAGCGAGGAGCAGCATAAATCCAAGGGAGTCGTTAGCCCTGAACGAGCGGTGTTGGAAGGTGCACTGATCCTCCTCCCTAATGAACGAGTAGGTGCCCACGTCTAAAACTGGGGGGAAGGCCATGGCCACAGACAGAGTCCAGACCATGCAGATCACAGCCAAACACGTCCAAAAGGTCAACCTCTTTGTATAGAAGCGGTGATGGGCGATAGCTAAGTATCTGGTGACGCTGATGCAGAAGAGCATGAAAGCTGTGTGGAAACAGGACAAAACCCCCAGAAAGGCAATCACTTTGCAAGTCAGAGTCCCATAAGTCCAGGTAGAGCCGTTTTTGACAGAGTTGAATACAAATGGAAAACAAATTGCAGATCTGAGGATGTCTGAACAGCACAGATCCAGCAGGAAGTAGTAGGGAGCTCTGTGCAAGGTCTTATCTTTCACTAGCAAAATGGAGATCAGGAGGTTGCCCACCACGCTGACTCCTATTATGAAACCCAAGGAAGTCAGTTTCAGAAAGGCTGTTAGAGGCGAAAGATTTTGCACAATGTTGTCAGCTGCATGGCTATAGTTCGCCATAGATGGATGGAGGATAAAAAACAGCCTCAGTCAAGTCTCATGATCTAGATATAAGAACAGGGAAAAGCTAGATCCATGCATTTTACTGAAAATGTAATCCACAAAGAGATCTGATCCAATCTGTGCTCATGCTTCCTCTTTCCTTCCGTGTGATTTGCCATCAGAATATCTGAAGGAGAAAAAAGAGAACTATCAGTTCTTAAGTTAACAAGCCATGATGTCAAAGCAAGCAGAAAGCTGGCCCTTTATGAGGAAGCAAATAAAGTTTCCATTTTAAACACTACAGTTTGCTCCAGCAGTCCTTTGCTTGAGATGTCAGGGTACTGGCTGTTTTAGTGTCCTAAGCTAGGTGAACTTAACGATGTCCTTATTCTAGACCCCATCTAGTTAGATGTGGGCACCTTCATGAGGGAAGGGAATAAATTGTCCCACAGTTGTAAGATACACCAGCCCAAGAATTAGTAACTAGCTTTGCAATGGAATCTGCAAGGTTACCGATAGGAGACAGAGAGGAGGCTACCCACAATTATTAGAGCTCTTTTAGTACCATCAGTATTTAAAAGGAAGCTTCTCTGCTCATTTGCATCCAGAGAACCTCTGCAAAATATACCTTTTAAGTCAAATGCCCCAGCTCATGCTGCAGGAGAGTATTTGTTGATTCATCTTGAGGCATGATTTCGACACCAGACTTCAAAATGAATAGAAATCTGTCCCAGGATTTGATGTGGTTTAACCTTTTGTCTTTCTCTCCCTACCCCACCCACCCCCCTTTTTGGCAAATCTTGTAGCTTTTAAGCCAACATGATTATTAAAAATGGTTAATGTAAATACTGGCCAGGGAAACACACCCAGAGGGATAATGCACTTCCTTTTGTAAACCTTGGCTGCCTGGATTCAAATGAATATAACATGAACCGGTATTTCTTAGGCAATTAAGCCTTTCTCATTTACACTGATAATCTTTGTTGCAAATCACAAGTGGCTTTATTTTCAAACAAAATGCACATTGTCTCCTGGGTGCCTGGGAGCCACACCAGGGAAATCAGCTTCCTCTGTTATTCCCACGAAGCGAGTTTCTTTGCCACTTCTCACTTGCCTGGAATATGCTGATGGAAGCCCAAGCAGAACTGCATCCGATGATGCTAATTTCCCAACCGGTGCATCCTTGGGTAAATACCGATCACATCATGCAACATTACGAAACCTGAAATCCACCACCCCTGGATTTATAACGGGGATGGGGGGAGGGGGAGGAGAGAGAGAGAGAGAGAGAGAGAGAGAGAGAGAGAGAGAGAGAGAGAGAGAGGAGAGAGAGAGAGAGAGAGAGAGAGAGAGAGAGAGAGATGCATTACATACTCAAAGATGGGGAGAGATTGCTTCTGTGCTGCAAGGGAAGGATTCCCGGTGATTCGCAGTCTGGTATTCCTCAGTTTTGCAAAGCTTTCCAGAAACCGAACTCTCAATAAGCCTTACAGAAGATGCATTGTCTGAATGTACTTCCATTATGCAGTTTTTTGTCAGAGGAAAAAAAAAAAAACCCTCTGGGAGGGCTGTATCCTGGTGAACCTGCAGTTTCATCAACACGGTGCAAACCCCCTCCCCCAAACTTAACCGAGAGTATATCCTCCTACCTGTTGGTGTTGGATATCCCGACAGACTATAGCTTCTTCTTTCTATAAATTGCTGATTTTTTTTTTTTCCTGAGTGCCTTGACTGAGCATCCAGGCAGGGCTCGGCGGCGCCTGCGCGTTGGAGCCTCCTTCAGCTCCAGCCGCGTCCTCCCCTGTCGCAGCGGCACCGTCTCCCCCAGTAACGCAGGGGCCGCGGCGGCGGCGCGGTGGCGAGGGCGGCGGCAAGGGTTGCTCCTCCGGCCTCCTCCGCCGCCGAGCCAGCGGGAGCCCCTGCCTGTCTCCGGAGCAGGCTGGCTTGCTTCAATGTCCTGTCCAGTTCAGCCGGCCCCGAATCAGGCTTTTGTTCCCTCGAGGCTGCTTCGGAACTTTTCCCTCCCCGCATTGGAAGTGGGGGGCTCGGGAAGGCTCTTCCCGGACCTCAGGCCCATCCTCTTCCCCTAGGGCAGCGCACGAAGCCACCGTGCCGCGGACGGCCGCCTCCGCCCCAGCTGCCCCGAACCCTCGCCTTCCCGAAACATCGTCTTCCTTTCTCTGTCAGGGTGGTCCTGCTAAGCATTGGATGCGCCTTGCAGAATTCTTCTCAAATGATTTTCCCTGCTGGTCTTTGGTTTGGCACGTTAGCTGGGGAAAGAAAAAGAAAGAATGAAAAAAGAAAGAAAAAAAATTAAGCACAGTCAAAAATCTTGTCAATGGGGGAAGAAGGAAAGCAGGTTAGGGCAGCCCTGTCTTTGTTAGTCGTCATCTGTTCGCGAAGGCACGCAGATCTGCGTTTAAGGAAGGAGAAGCTAAGTTCAGACAAGTGCAAAAACGATCTACACTCATTCTACCTTCTCGAACGTGACTAACCGATCAGGAGAACAGAGATTTTACATGGCTGTTCCTCACATCCCACCCCATCAAGCTACAAGCCTCTCCGTTCTCTTCCAAGCTGGGCTGACCAATAGGTTGCTGATGTCAAAGCGGTGGTGTGTATGAGTTCCCCCTTTCCTCTCCTTTGTTATTAGACATAAAAAAAAAAAAATACCAGGAATATGATGAATACCGAAAACTTACACCAGTCCACAAACACCACATTGTCTGACACCTGGTGATTAGGAACGCCTCTAGAATCATCCACGTCCCGATTCTCCCATTTCCAAAGAGTTTTTGTGAGGGTGGGGTAAGATTTTAAACAACTACCCACTCTCCACCCCTTAAAAGCTAGCAGGCACGCTTTCATTAATTCCCAAGGTAAAACGTCTGCTTGTCTTGCTGCAAGCTTATTGCTTTATAATAATCTGTTAATGAAACAGAAAAAAAAACCTCTCTACAGTAATAATTTGATCTCGAGACAGCAGTAAAATACCTCATCGCTGGGTGGTGAGATTGTGACATTCAGGGGAAGTCAAGCCAATCAGCATACAGATAATATAGGTTAATTTACATATTGTATTTCTATTGGACACATAGAGGTAAAATGTTTAAAGCTTAAAAATGAATACTTCACTGTCATGATGTCACAGTCGTTACACAAAGACCAATGTTAGTAATGCTGAAATAATGTTAAATTGCCCTGTTTTGATTGGAGATTTTCTTAGCCAATTAAAAAAATAATGATTAGCTCCCCCCCCCGTGTGTGTGTGTGTGTGTGTGTGTGTGTGTGTGTGTGTGTGTGTGTGTGCTCTTTTGGATATCCATAAGGTACTTGCTTTAGGCATTTCCTTTACTTAGGAGAGTCAATCCTGTAACAATACTGGAAGTAACTTGAAGATATTTCCACCCAAGTAAGACATCCCAGTTTTTGTAAAACACAGTTCTGCAGAACTTGAAACTATATAATGGGGGAAAACTTTTAAATGAAATCTCAAACTGCTTTTATGAAACTACAAAATAATTTTCTACTTCTTAAATTGTATCTCAATGCATTTTGCAAAGAATGATGATTTATTGAACTTTTAAAGATTAAAAATTACTTAATGGAATAAGTGATTCAAGTAAGTTTGCTGAACACCTACTGTTGACCAGATGTTAGGCTGTCCAGATTAAAAAGTTTAAAAGTCAATGAAAGGGAAGGGCACGCTGCTAGAGCACAAAGCAATAATCCACTCTGTCCAAAAGTTCAGGACTGCGACCCAAGGGTTGAACTAGATAATAGAAAAGGATATGTATATACAATAGTCTTTCACAGCGATGTCCAGGTATAGTAGAGCTATTTTTCTTTTGAAACTGAGTACAGTTACACTTACTTCAGTCCCCCCACCCCCGCCTGTTAGACGAGAACGCCATTGTCTTGCCTCGAAAGGGGGCTCAAGAACTAATGAGATAATTTTCAATTTAGTTCATTAACACTACTGGAGAAAACACTGGGTTTTGCATCTTGGAACAACAGACAAGGATTTTAAAGATATGTTTAACAGCTGAACAAAGTTTAAAAGCTGAACAAATACGAACAAAGTTCACATTATCAACAAGTTCTTAAACATATGGCTATTGCCGCAGATTTACGTTCGCACTGTAGGGTGACTTGATCTCAGCTAATTTCTTTTCTGATTCCTTGTATCACCAAACCTAGAAAAATTGATTTTCAGATTAAGAATAAAGGACAAAGCACATGCAGCGAAGTGTTTTCTACCCTAACCGTTGGGTTTGAAGGACTTTAAAGGTTCCCAGCATTTGACATGTTACATTTCGTATATTGATTTGTGTTTAGGAAGACTGGGGCGATTTGCTCAATTTGGTCATTATACTCAATACAGACAATTTTATTTTAAAAGGAAACTAACTTCTTTTTGGAGTTAACCTATTTTAGGTTTTTGTTCTGTGATGCTCAGCTTCATTATGGGTGCAGTGGTTTTGTTCTATGCATTGCTTATGTGCAAGTCTATCAAGATTTGAATTCACAAAACAATAGACTGCAATAAAATATTCTAAAAATGATATCTAGTTGTTCATTTAAAATGTCACCTTTTCTGCTTATAACTTGTCATTAAAGCTTTAGAAAACATGTAAATTTGGAGTTCTGAACGAGCAATTTCTGAAAACTTTATTGATAAGAAAGGTTCCCATTGACCGTTTTTGCATAGAAATGTTTTCTGATAGACTATTGAGAAATAAGAGCTAACCTGTCATAAGTAATTAATAGATAGAGAATTTATACATTTATATTTTAATAATGTTTTTCAAAGAAGCAAACTTTTCCAGAGTGATGTAATTAGTGAAAAGTTTTTAGGGTATTGTACTTATATACTTGAAGTGTAAAATGGTGGACTTTAGACCTAAAATATGACCATCAGATTTTAAAATTGTGCCTCAGGAGTTTGGAATAACCATAATTGTGAACATCTTAAATGAGGAATGAGATTTCTTCAGAATTTTAATAGGTTTTAAAAAGATTAAGAATCTGGAATATTTCTTTCCACATCGCTAAGAGGTTCATTTGTCAGATTTTCCTTTCTGTTCTGCCACAAAACAGGGTCCAAAGTACTACTATAACTCACTTTTAATTGTGGAGCTAGCATCTTCTTTCTCAGTTAAGACACAGGCTTTTGAAAGCTCAGCAATTTACTTTCTGTGACCTTTATGTAGAAAATTTCCATCTCTGAAAAACTTTAAGATTTATTCTCATATTTAATTCATCCAGTAAACCTTTTGTCAGACTGATTCTCTATGAGATACATGGATAGAACTTGAATAAAACCAACGATCAGGTGGTGGGAGAAGTTTACAGGCAGCTGCATCATTCTCAAGAAAACCAGAAGAGGAGGTGAAGTGATTAGAAGCAAAGGGGTGGGTCGGCAAGATCTGAGGAACCACAGTGCTTGTCCAGTGCTTAGAGGGAAGCAAAAGGAGTTTGAAAAGTAAGAGTTAACTCTCATGTTGAATAACTGTGAGACCAAAGAACTGTTCACGGAGGGAGGCAAAGATAAAAATGGAAAGAAGGAGTTCATCCAATAATGAAAATAATGAGTTATTTTAGACATATGGAATGTGAAATGTTGGTGGGTATTTCAAATATTGAAGTCTTTTATGTGGTCAAAAGTGAAGGCCTAATTTAGGAAGTACCAGGGGTGATGGCAGAGTAGCATAAACCGATGGATGGCATTGCCAGTTAGAAACAGTCAAGAGAGTCTCTTATTCCCATTCCACTTAGTTCATAAAAGGGGATTGCTGGAGAAATGGAAAAACAGGAGCAGCATTTATGTCAGGGGTACCTTGGGATAAAGACTTTCAATGAGGAGTGGCCATCATCCCCACAAATTGTGACTCAAAACTTTAGACCAATGGTGAATGAGAAGATACCATTGGGTCTGGTAGTAAGGTTAGCAACTTATGAGAGACAAGTTTGTATGTATTGACAGGCAAGGACACAGTCTTAAAGGTGGCTAAGGTTAGACTCAGTAACGATTGTACTGTTAATCACAGCACTGTCTTGGTGACATCGGTTTTAATGAATTCTGCTGATACTTTATGAACAAAGTGGCGGTTATTTAAATGAATATAGCATGTCTTCTTCAAGAAGTCTTGAAAACTTTTAAACTGTACATTATTTAAATTATGTGACTGAGAAGAGCAAATGAAAGTTCCAAGTTCCTTACTAATGCCTGGGACAACTTCAGAGCTTAAAGAAAAAGCCCTTGTTCTACTATTATACTCAAAATTGTTCCATTAATTTATATATTCCAACCCCACCTCCTTTTTTAGATGCAGTTAATCTTATCTAGGAAAACAAAAATGGAGAAAGAGAAAAGAAGAAAGAGGAGAGAGAGAGAGAGAGAGAGAGAGAGAGAGAGAGAGAGAGAGAGAGAGAGAGAGAGAGAGAGAGAGAGAGGCAGGTGCCTAGAGGAAAGACAGGAAGAGGAACCCACTTGTTGGTAAAATGACTAAGAAATGAGAAGCCAATTTAATAGTCAAGTTAATAGAGAGTCATACACATCTTAGACAGATTACAAATTCTGAGGGAATAAAAATGAAATATAGATTTAAAATCTCTAGAAGTATAAGGACTTTTTGGTTTCATTTTTCAGAGGTTACTTCAATCTTGTAGTCCATTAAGGACATTATTATGAGTACCAGTTCAGTGTAATGTAAGCAGGTGATGATTGCTTAAGCTTCTGTGGTGTTTAGCTTTTTGACAAATGGGCATAATTAAAATGTTCTGAAAGTAAAGAATAGTGTCTTTAGATCTAAGAATTCCATACTGACTGCCCAGACCTGCATTCTGAGTTTCTGATTACCCTTTCTTTTATATTTCTCTTAAATTTTTGAAATTTATGTTTTCTCTTTACAGAATTATAACTTCATAACACAAGGTCAGTTGTCTCTTTTGGATTGAAAATATATGAGAGCCATTTATAAATATTATAATATTGGTTGTATTTAATTTCACTAACATTATCTACTTAATTTTGCATCAAAATGACTTCATTGAGACTAAGTCTCAGGGGCACACAATTTCATTCATTCATCAAGCACTCAAGGCTTCACTGGAATTATAAACTCTGATGTGTTGGCATTTTGCTTCCCCAGTGCCCAAAAAGAACCTGGCCCAGGGAAGGCAAGTGGTACACATTTGTTGAATGGATGCTTATGAGCCTGCTACACAAAAGGTGCTTTCAGGTCCTGTATGTAGGGATATGGGAGGAGGAAATGGATATCTACATAAGCTCCAAGGAGGCTGCACATTTTTCTTAATTGAATGGAATTGGGATACTTATTTGTATTTTGGATAGACAGTTGTCTTCGCCAAGGATTCACTCTGGATTTGGAGTTCACTTTGCTTAACATAAGCATTACATAAGCATCTACATGATTTCTTATTTGCATTAGAACTTAGTAATTTCATACCATTTTCTAATGTCTCATGTAGATTATAAGACAAGAGCAGATACTTTGTTCCTTAATCACTAAACTGGTGATCAAATATAGAAATATATATAGTCTTATAAATATATATTAATATGTAATAAATATATTTATAGTCTTTATAAAAATATATATATTTATAGTCTTCTCTGCCTTTATATATATGATCATTAATCTTTTAATGACAGTGAATCAAAAAAAGCAAGCAAACAAATGAGGACACATAAAAAATCCAATCTGATAAATCAGCACAGAAGTGAAAAGCTTGATAATATAAAACATTTAAGTGATCATCACGGTTTAACTAAATGTGACATGATGCTATCTCTGTAGTACAGCGAACTGCAACCTGCCTTAATATGTAAGCAAACCTAAGCCTATATTATTCTAAGGAGATGTCAAGTCTCACCCAAGGTCAGAAGCTGAGATTCAGCCAATCGCAGGCTGCCAACTGCTCAGACCACATCCAAAGAGGTAA